GGATACGGGCATCGCCGCGGCGGCGGCCGCGGCGGCAACTGCTGCGGCGCGCGCCGCTGCGTGATTCGACTGCCCGGCGCGGGCCGAGTACTTCGCTGCCACGGCAGCCGCCTGCTGCTGCTGCTGCTGCCGCTGCTGCTGCACCGTATCAAGCTGCTGCAGCAGGCGCGCCTGGTGCTCCTTCCGCTCCTCGATCTGCGATGCGGGCGAGGCGGCGGGGCGGTTTGAGCAGCTGCCAGCTTTTCAATGCACCCGCCCAGCTTCCCCCCGGGCATCCGCAACTGCCGGCACGCCCGTCTTCACGCTAGCAACGACTGGTCCAGATCAACCTTTGTCACGTGTTGCAGCGCGACCATCATAATTGCAAGCGCTTGGGCGGAATGATTCTGCGCCGCAGCCCCCCACCATCACCTCGCGCAGAAGCTCGTCATGCAACTGCGCCAATGCATCCTCGGACGACTGCCCCGGATCCGCTGCGGCGCGCCGCTGTGTTGTGGAGCCTGGCAGCGGTTCAGAATGCGGCGCACGTGCGAGCGCAGGTCGGGCGGGACGACGCAGATGCCGACACTGGACGCGCCCCGCCCGCAGCGTGGCGCATGTGCGGGCGCAGCCCCATTGTCCAATGCACCGTTACAGCGAGCTATGGAGAGCAAAACGTCTTTGTGTAGGCTTACCCCTGCATTGGCGTGGCCAGAGCGACACTGGGACGCTGACAGTGCAGGCAGTGCTCTTGGAGGAGCCCGCTGGCCGCACCCTACGCCCGCGGAGCAGCTGCATAGCGCAAAGTTTTCCCTAATACACTTAGTGCGTATCAGCAGGCACGGGCCCGAAGGCAAAAAGCACTAGACCGTGCTGCTCACACTAAAGCATACCGCGAAGCTCTCAGACTCGATTCAATTGTATGATAGACGTGATATAACAATGAATTGATTCGCGGCCAGGCAACTCCTTGCCCGGCCGATCTCACGGGACTTGCAAGCCAAAGCGTACGATCACGATTCAAGAGGGTGAGAGCTGTCAATAACTATGAGATGACTACTTAATTTCGTCTGAAGGCGCTGTGAACGCCCGAACTTCTATTTCTGGCAGTGATGCGGCGGGCCAGGCCGCACGCGTCGTAGTGCACTCAGGGCGATGGACGCGCACACCGTAAGCGCACATACGCATGTGAGGAAGAAGCATGTGCTGGTGCGCGTTGAATACCTGTCCAGCCGATGCGCTCCTTGCAGCAGCGGGGTCATCAGCAACTGCGGGAGGCCATGCTCACTTGCTCAGCCTGCCTCTGCCTTCGTCTTCCCAGCCGCTTGTCATTTCTTGGATGACACAGAATCACAGTGTTCGTGCAGCAACAGTGCGGCCTGTGGGAACACGCATATAACCAGTCTCTTGCGGTCTTTGCTGCACTGCAAAATCTGCCCTTTGGGTGGTTTTCTACATTAATCGGACAGGCAATTCAGCGCATTGACCGTCAACACAAAACTCTAATGCAAGGCATTTGTCGCCCATGGATGCTTGCATGGTGTTGATGCAGCGCTCTCTCTCTCTCTCTCATTTTACCGACCTGCAGAGACCAGACATGTGGCAGCCCGCCTCGGACCTGGTCAAAGCTCTCTCAAGTGCTGCCGGCGGCTGGGCAATGATGCGGTGCACATGCGCCCGCCCTGTACCCTTGCATCGCCAACAAAACTGTGCGGGCATCTGGTCAACGCTTGAAGCATCGGTTTGCTTGGAGATACCCAGGTCGGGCAACTCGAAATGGCTGAGTTGGCGCTGACCGTTATCAAATATTGTAAGCGGCTCGGAAACACATGCAGCGCGTTCATTTGCTTGACCGTCGCTACCTTATACGGTATTCTCGCAAGGGCGCACGCACTCGTCTGAACACAGCTGGCGAGCACAGCTGAACAGCAGCACTCCCTCGCTTGGTCTACATGCTCAGCTGCATATCGAATCGCCAGCAGCACATAGGAAGCTTTACACGGGTGCGCATATATCATACTGTTACACGGATCAGATCTGCCCGAGGCCGCCGCTGGCACTGACGGCTGCCCCTCTTCGCAGGCCCGTGCCATCACCAACAAGCGTTTTATCACCGTAAACCGCGGCGCCATGTCGGGAGGTGCGTGGGCCCTTCGCCTAGCAGCGCGCCGGGCGCGATGGGCCGCCGTCCGGCGCTTGCGGTTACCCGCGACAGCGCGCGCACACACTCGCTGACAGCGCGCCCTCGCCCCCCGACGCGCCGCAGGCAAGGCCCCGGGCGGCAAGCCCGTCGTGCTCATCACAGAGAAGCTCGGCGATCCTGGTGAGCACAGCGCCAACTCCCAGGAGGGGCCTCGACCCATCGACCCAACAACCCGTTGCCCACCGCGACTGTGTCCGCCCACCCTTTGGACGGCCCGCGGCCCGCCCCACGCGGCGCTTCGTTACGGAGCCTGCGTCACTCTGCTTGCCAGCTCTACACGACCGCCGGAGACACCCCTCCCG